CTTCAGCCACCACCTTTCATAGCAAGGCCTTATGAGCAAGCGCAACGCCAAGATACGCATCAACTCTTCTTGCCTAGAAATAGGCATAAGAGTAAACATGTAGCAAACTTGAGAAACCAGGAGGGTCTATCTCAATCACAACTTCGGTATCAGGCTGACGAGGACTTTGATAGACCGTGTAGGTCATATGAACTTGATGACGATGTTGACAATTTTCCTTTCTCCCAAGAGCTTCAAAGTATCCACAAGCTATGCTACTTCGTACCTCTAAAAAATCCTTTGTACGAGGAAAAAGTTGATACAGAAAAGCAACTCAATAATTATAAAACTTGCATTAACTTGAGATGTACCTCTCCAATGCTAAAGTGTAGAGCTTTTTGCCTAACTTTTAATGGATTAGTTGAGGTTTAGTATAGCATGATTCTTGCATCAGAAGTTGGTCGAACCTTTAAAAAATTTCTTAAATCAATTTATAGCTTAGAATGATGGAGAAGCTCCTATTTTAACGTTTCCAAGACATGAGGCAAGTAGTTGGAAAAACATTCAAAAGCTATTTGGCTCATTTTATTGATGAAATGACCTATTGTGAAAAGGTTACTAATAGAGAAGCCTCTCAGCCTTAACAGTGAGCCTTAACTTGAACACCTTATTCTGGAGAGATGTTCAAAATAAAAACCCCATCCTTATGATGAATTAGTGAGATAATGAGGCTTAAAATCATCATGAGGTGATGATTGATCATTAAAGTAGAGCAATAAAAAGGCACCCACTTCCTAAAGATATATGGAAAAATGACCCATTTCTCGCTTGGTGAATTAACAATGGACTCAAGTTAGGTATGTAGTCGTCCCCATCTCAGTTGAAGCACAAGCTCTCTCCATCTTTAATGTTGTGCAAACCCTAGCCCATGAAGAGGTCATGCAAAACTAAGAGTTGTTCTAAGGAGACCCATCTATCGAAGGGATAAAAGAAAAGGAAATAGACCTAGCAGTAGGTTTTACAATGAGGGGCAACCCTATTACACCTACCATCTTCATGACCATGATATAAGTGATTGTAGATACATACCTTAGTCCACAGAGTGAAACAATCTTGTGAGCCAAGAAGAGAGAATCGCTCACATAAGGAAATCCGCCTTCACTTAGGCAAGTTCAGTAGCCTAGGCGAGACGATGTGAGGCGACCTCCTAATGACCATTTTTCTAGGCATAGAATGGAAGAAGATAGCTATAGGCCCTGAAATGGGCAAAGACAAATAAGGGACCCTCTAACCAAAGTAGACAAAAATCTATCTAAGAGATCGACACGATCATCGAAAGTCCATGTGTAGGAAGTACTCTCGGAACGTGCAAAGTAACTATACTAGGAAAGCCAAAGATTGTCCAATGCCAAGTTACAATCAACAACAATCCCCATGGGAATGAAAATAAGCCACCTATTACTTTTAAGTAGGAGGATGTAGCAGGCGTACACTACCTATATCGTGATATACCCTAGTGGTAGAGACTGTGGTAACTTGCAAAGGGTTGAAGCACATACGGTGGATAGTAGAAGCTCAGTTAAAATTTTATTCGATTCCACTTATGATAAAATGCTAGTAGATCACAAGCAGACCCCCATTACTTCTTTGCTATATAGCTTTACTGGTGGCAGTATCATTCCGAGAGCAAAAATCCCTTACTGTAGAAGTGGAGACATATTCTCAAATAGCTCGCCAATTTATCTTGTGGTGGATAATAGATCTACCTACCATGGGGTCCTAGGTAGGCCCATATTGAAAAAATTGTAGCCTGACACCACCATACTATGCATGAATTTTTCCATGAAAAATGGCATTACAACTGTTATAGATAACAAAAAGGGGTCTAAGGAGTGCTTTCTTAACTTCCTATGGAAGGCCAAACCCCCGTACTATCAGCATGGTGTTTCATGACACTTAGACGACTAACGTACTTGAAGAAGGATGGACCCTTTAACAAGGGAAATATGTCAAAATGATAGATACCCCTAAAGAAGGGATTATGTGTGACGATCTGGACGTTTGAGTTATCGAGCTTAAATCCTAAACAACTCTTGTAGAAAACGTAGAGAGCTTTTTTGTAGATTCCCAGACCCCACCAAGGTATTACAAGTGGGAATTATGTTATCAGTTGAAGCGAAAGAGAAGCTTAAAGCTTCTTAGGCAAGAATTTAGATGTCTTTGTTTGGAGGCATGAGGATGGGGTGAGCTATCATCAAGTGAAAATTGATCCTAAGTATGCCCCGTACAGGTAAAAGAGATGGTCTTCAAGCTCGAGAGGTATGAGGTGTTGATAAAAGAAGTGGAGAAATTGATTTTTAATGGCTTCATCAGGGAAATCACTTATCCTAAGTGGATTTCTAATCTGGTTCTGGTAAAAAGACATAATAGCAAGTGGAGAGTTTGCATAAATTTCTTCAACCTCAACCAAGCTTGCCTAAAGGGTCTTCCATTTCCAATGATAGATCAGCTCGTTGATTTTACCACAGGGACATGAGTTGTTGAGCTTTATGGATGCACACTCGAGCCACAATAAAATCTCTATACACCTAGTAGATGAGAACACTTCTTTTATCGCTGATGAATGTCTCTATTGTTACAAGATGATGCCATTCAAGCTGAAATATTTAGGAGCCACCTACCAAAAACTTGTTAATAAAATGTTTTTTTACCTTATTGGCAAAATTATGGAGATCTATGTAGATGACATGATGGTGAAGAGCCTTCAAACGAAAGATAATATTAAGCACTTAGATTGTGATGACCCAAATCCTTGACTATTTGAGTGTCACTAAATAAAACTTAATTCTTTCAAAAGAACTAAAATAAGAATATGAAATAATTTTTTTATTTTTCTTCAAAAAATAAATAAATTTTGGTTTTATCATGTAACTGCGAAAAATGAAAGAAAGAAAATAATTCCAACATAACAATTAAATTTGAAATTCAAAGTTGTGTTTTAAACACAACACAATTTATTAATCCTAGCCTCATTGCCATTTCCATGTTGACTGCATCGAACCATCAGTTGCCTGAAAGGGAGAATTATCATAGATTGAGATTTATAAAATCTCAATAAGTACTCCATGAATTATTATTGTGTATAACTTAAAAGAGCATAATAATCATAATCAGCATAATGGAAATGTAAGAATTTTACCGAACATAGGTAGTAAGAATTCTTATGTGTAGTGCTACTAAACTCTGGTCCCCTTAACATAATCATAATCATATCATAGCATATGGGACCCATAATAATTTTCTTGAAATTCATAACATAACAATAATTCAACATAGGCAGCGTACTTACAGTGAAATTTGAATGAAAGAATAATAGAGACTTGATCCCTCTATAATTTCCACCTCGGCTTATGAATGTATATGTGTATATTATTTGGAGCAAAAATTATAATAGTGAGTGGTAGCATGTGAATATGAATGAGGGATTTAAATAGGACGAGATTAGGCATGCATCTTTAAGGAAAATTTCATAATGGTGGAAATTGTTCGTTGAAATTTGTGAAATGAGCAGGAATCTCTCTATCTTTCCTACATTTACGCATTCACACTACACATTACCATATGTTTGTTCAATCAAGCATAAATCAAGAATTTTCTATGTAAGTGTTTGACCAAGAATTTAATCAAAAACATGTGGGAATTAACACTTATGGTAAGTTTGCTACAAGGTCCTCGAAGGTGGATTAACCTTCAAATGAGGCCCCAAATTTTCAATTTTGATAATTAAACCCAGAAGTTCGGATGTGGGTATTATAATCTACCCTCCTCAAAATAAATTTCATCCTTGAAATTGACCTTGGAATTCGTCGAAGAGTTGTGGGTACTTTGCCCGCATCTCCACCTCTCACTCCCACGTGGCCTCTTCAGCTGAGTGATTTTGCCATTGTACTTTCACTAGTGAGATCACTTTGTTCCGGAGGGCTTGAAATTTCTGATTAACAACTCTTATTAGTACTTCTTCATAGTTTAAACCTCTCTGTAATTCAATAGGCTGATGGTTGACCACATGACTTGGATCAGGGACGTACTTTCCAAGCATTGAAATGTGGAAGACATCATGTACAGCTGAAAGTTCGGGAGATAATGCTAGTTGATATGCGACGTTCCCAATACATTGTAAGATCTCGAACCGGCGAATAAACTTTGGTCGCAACTTACCCTTCTTGCCAAAACGTAGCACTCCTTTCATCGGTGCCACTTTGAGAAATACCTTATCACCAACTAAAAATTCCAGACTCTTTCTCTTTCTATCAGAATAACTCTTTTGTCTATCTTGACCACTTTTCATGCTGGAATGAATCTTTTCAATTGCATGTACCGTCTGCTCAATAATTTCTGGCCCCAAAATCTTTCGCTCACCAACTTCATCCCTATAAACTGGTGATCTACACTTTCTTCCATACAATGCCTCATATGGTGCCATGTTAATTGAAGTGTGGTAACTACTGTTGTATGAGAATTCAACTAAAGGTAAATGCTTCTTCCATTGTCCCCCAAACTCGAGGATACATGTCTGAAGCATGTCCTCCAATGCAATTGTCCCCTCAGACTGCCCATCCGTCTGAGGATGGAATGCCGTACTAAACTTTAGTTTAGTTCCCATAGCTCAGTGTAGACTTTTCCAAAGTTCAATGTGAACCTTGGGTCTCTATCCGATACAAAAGAAACAGGCACACCATGTAACCTTACTATCTTATTCACATATAATTACGCAAACTGGTCCATAGTAAACGTCATCTAAACTGGTAAGAAATGAGCTAATTTGGTAAGTCGATCCACTATAACCCAAATAGCATCGTGACCTCTTGTTGACCTTAGAAAATCAATCACGAAGTCCATAGTCACATGCTCCCACTTCCACTCTGGGACCTCCAATGGTTCAAGTAACCCTGACGGTCGCTGGTGTTTGATCTTCACTTGCTGACACACCAAACATTTCTAGACATACTCAGCTATATCCCTTATATTGCCTTCAAATCCTTATACATCTTTGTGCTTCCTAGGTGCACTAAATAAGAATAGGAGTGAGCCTCCTCTGGAATCTCTCTTTTCAATTCTTTGAAATTCGGTACACACATCCGCCTTTGATAATATAATGCTTCATCTTCAGCTATGGTGAAATCCTTCCACTTTTTTGAGTTAATCTCAGACTTGATGTACTCAAAGGACTGATCACCCTTTTGATGTCCATTAATTCTGTCACGAAGTGTGGGTCGGACAGAGAGATCTGTTACTCGAGCGACCACACCTGGTTGAGTGGTGACAACTTTGAGATTCAATCTCTCAAATTCTTCCCATAGTGGTTCTTGCGTAGTCAACATAGCTAATTGACCTGCCGTTTTCCAACTCAAGGCATCAGCTACCACATTCGCCTTGCCTGGGCGATAATGAATTTCACAATCGTAATCCTTAACTAACTCAAGCCATATTCTCTATCTCATGTTCAATTCTTTCTGGGTGAAGATGTACTTGAGGCTTTTGTGGTCCATATAAATGTCACATTTACCTCCGTAAAGATAATGCCTCCAAATTTTTAATGCATGAATCACCGGGCAAGTTCTAGGTCATGCGTGGGATAACTTTGTTCATGTAGTTTTAATTGTCTCGATACTTAGGCAATCACTTTTCCATACTGCATTAAGACATATCCCAAACCTTGTTTCGAAGCATCACTATAGATTACAAAACCATCTGACCCATTGGGTATGGTTAAGACTGAGGCATTTACTAGCTTTTGTTTTAATTTCTTAAAGCTCTATTCAGACTTCTCTGTCCAGTCAAACTTCACACCCTTGCAAGTTAATTGTGTCAATGGTCCTGATATTTTGGAGAGTCTTTCAATAAACCTCCGATAGTATCCTACTAAGCTTAAGAAACTGCGAATTTCTCCTACATTGGTTGGCCTTGACCAATTCGACATTGTCTCCACTTTACTAGGGTCTACCTCTATCCCTCGGGCCGTGACAAGTGTCCAAAGAATGCTACCCGCTCCAGCCAAAACTCACACTTTTTGAACTTGCCATAGAGTTTCTCCTTCTTCAAAACCTCCAACACAATCTTTAAATGTTCTTCATGTTCCTCATTACTCCTTGAGTAGATCAGGATATCATCGATGAATACGATAACAAACTGATCAAAATACTTGTGGAAAACACAGTTCATCAAATCCATAAATACTTTAGGAGCATTAGTTAGTCCAAATGGAATAACTAAGAACTCGTAGTGTCCGTATCGAGTTTTAAAAGTTGTCTTAGAAATATCACTAGCTTTGATTCTCAATTGATGATAACCATATCTTAAATCGATTTTGGAAAATACCACTGAACCTCTGAGTTGATCAAACAAATCCTCAATTTTGGGAAGATGATACATATTCTTGATAGTGATTCTATTCAATTCTCTATAATCGATGCACATCATCATCGATCCATCCTTCTTTTTAATAAATAGCACTGACACCCCCCTATGAAGATACACTGGGTCGGATGAAACCTCTGTCCAATAGTTCCTCCAACTATGCCTTCAATTCTTATAATTCTTTGGGTGCCATTCTATATGGAGCTTTAGAGATGGTGTTGATCCGGGAGTAAGGTCAATTGTGAATTCTACCTCTCGTTCTAGCGTCATACCCTATAACTCCTCGGGAAAAACTTCTGGATATTCATACACCACCCTAACCTTGTCAACTGTTAATCTATTGTTCTCTTCCTTACTTATTACTGACATCAGGAATCCCATAGTGATTTCTAATGGTACGATCTATCGGACTTTCAATGTAGACAAGGTGCGGGGTAAGATTTCACCTCTAGCCATAGATAATCGAAATCTCCCTTTTCCCCGTCTTTGAAAAATCACCTCTTTTTGGAAACAATGAATTATCGCGTGATTCCTGGATAGCCAATCCATTCTACAAAACACATCGAACTCGTCCATAGCTAATACATACAATTCTATCTCCAATGATTTACCATCAATTTCTACTATTGTTGTTCCAACTATGTGATTAATATTCACTATATCCCAAGTGGACATCGTTACTACTAAAGGAAATTCTGCATATTCAACCATAACAACCAGTTTACATAGAAACTTAAGGGCTATAAAGGAGTGAGTTACACAAGAATCTATTAATACCTAGGCTAGAAAGTCGGATATGAGGACTTTACCTGCCAAGACATTTCGATTTTCATCCTTCTCCTGCCCTGCTAGTGTATAAACCCTATCCTGTCCTCCTGGTACATGGCCTTGTCTATGTTGGTTGTTCCCCTATGGTCTCTGCTAGTTGCTCCCATACTTAGGGAAATACTGAGCCATGTGTCCTTGTCCTCCATACCGAAAACATGAATTTGTCCCCAAAAGGCAAGCTCCCTGATGATGCTTCTGACATTTTCCACAGTGTGGGTAACTCTTGTTACCATCTTGCACTGAATTTCCTCTGCTCTTTTTGGCATAATATTGTTTCTCTTTACCCTTGTTATCCACCCACTTTCGCTTCTTTGACTGTCTTTAAGCTGATTTTCCTCCCCACTAGTACGATTCTCGAAATCTACCAATTGTGCCCTGCCAACACATCATGATAGTTTTCAAGCTAAAGCACTATGACAATCCATTTCAAATCATCTCTTAGACCTTGCTCAAAATGTCTTGCCTTCGTGTCCTCTGTATCCATAAACTCAGGAGCATAATGAGCCAACTCTTCAAACTTCTGCTCGTACTCGATTAACGTCATTGAGCCCTGAGTCAAAATGACGAACTCAGCCTCCTTCCGATTTCGAATACTCATGGGTAGTACTTTTTCAGAAAGGCCTCCTTGAATTCGTCCCACATCCAAACATGACTAGGAGCCCTTGATCTGGTAGTGGTGTCCCACCAACACCTAGAGCTTCTACGTAGAATAAAGGTAGCACATATTACCCTTCAAGGTCTCGGGCAATTAATGAGTTCAAAAATTCTCTCCATCCCCACCAACCAATCTTCTGCTTCCAAGGGGTCCATGCTACCATGAAAGATAGAGGGATGCTGTTTCCTAAATTGCTTAACCATAGCAATAATGGTCCTAGTGTTGAGGGCAACTTCGTGTTGTTCTGGTTGGGGTGGCAAAAAAGATGATGATGTTGGTTGTTGAGGAGGTGGTGGCGGCATCGCAACTTACACAAAAGTTTGTGTCATAGCAAGAAACTACTGGGCAAACTGTGGGTCAATCGTATTGGACTGAGGCTGAGCAGGTTGTGTGGACTCTTGATTTTGGTCATTGTTATTGTTAGTCCTTCTGCTTCGGGATGCCATAGCCTTAATTAAATGATAGTAATTATTTAGAGTTAAGTTAAATTAAGGATATGAAACATAAAGAAATGGCATGCTTTTATTCATAAATATTTATAAGTTCACATAAATAACCAACCACCGAGCATATTCAATGTCCAAACAACAAAAATTCAAAAATTGAAAAAGGTAAAGTCAACTAGGGCATTATCTAATAGTTCTTCCCAGTACCCTCCCTTTTTTTCCTCAAGATTTGGTTTCGGATCAATCGCGGAATACGACGCGGGGTTGTATTCTTCACTCGGGTCTTCTTCAACATAATTTCCCTCATAGTCAACTTCGAGTTTGTTATCACATTGCCTGGATTAGCTTCATAGTCTGGCATCTTATTGGTATCTCTAACGTCTTCACAATTCACCCTCCACATTTTCCTCATGCATTGAAATAGTAAATCGAGAGAGGTCTGGTAGTCGAAGGTCTCTTTGATTCCCTTGATAAATTGCCTTTAATAAGGAGTAAGGGTTCGGTCAACGTGATACACGATTTCATCCCTATGAAATTGATATCCATTCGCCTTTGGTCCTCGGTAAATTATTTCCATGGCATCTAAGTGTTGTATCAAACTATGGTGCGGGTTCTCTTGTAATTCCTATGCAACCAAGTAAAATGATTGCGCCTCTTAGTTTGACTGGTTTGACCTTGTCCACTCACCATCTATCAGAAAGAAATGAACGTAATTACTTTTCTTCCCAAAAGAACTTTTCAATTTTTTTATTTTTATTTATTTATTTACACATAGGTGGTGGTAAAAGAATTAGTTATTATACCAGAGTTGGAACTTCTAAGGGAATGTATCAATAATTATCCACCATTTTTCCCTTATTTTTTTACAAAGGTAGTGATAAAGGGATGAATTATTGTACCAAGAGTTGAAATTTTTTAAGAAAACATATTAATAAACATCCATAGTTTTTCCCTTGTTTTAACAATGGCAGTGATAAAGGGATGAATTATCGTACATGGATTCATTATTAATCTTATTCATATAATATGTGATTCTATATTATCGCAAACTTAACCTCTAGTTGAATCATTTCCATTAAACTTAACATGCATTTAAAATCACATAGCTACCATTATTTCATGGTTTCTACATGAGTATAAAATCTAAGATTGAGGTCTTCAATCAATAGCATAATAGTAAACACTTACAACATACAAAATTTTATATTTTTATTGACTTTTATGCATAACAAGTCTAAATAAATTGAAACTATATTCTTATTTTGTCATGATATTCATGATTGCTATTTTAAGCATAATTTCATACGTGAGATGACATGAATATTTAAAGTACATACAAACCTGGTTCACGGAAGTCAAGACATGAAGGATGCCATAGTGGCTAGTGACTTAGAACAACTTAAAATTTCATTTTAAATATCAACTTGTTTTCAAAAAAATTCATCTTAATCATTGAATCCAAACCGATTCTTGGACTAAAGCTTTTAGATAGTATTAGTCTATTTATAATAAAGCCCAACTAAATAAATCAATTTTAAAATGCATTCTTATCAAAATATTTTTTTTCAGAAAATTTTTAAAGCTCAAAATTTGGAAAATATATATGTTAAGTCTACATGACCGATTTGAAAACTCTTAGCTCTGATATCAACTTTGACAACCCGAATCCTTGACTATTCGAGAGTCGCTAAATAAAACTTAATTCTTTCATACGAACTAAAATAAGAACATGAAATAAATTTTTTATTTTTCTTCATTAAGTAAATAAATTTTGGTTTTATCATATAGCTGCGAAAAATGAAAGAAAGAAAATAATTCCAACATAACAATTAAATTTGAAATTCAAAGTTGTTTTTTAAACACAACACAATTTATTAATCCTAGCCTTATTGCCATCTCCACGTTGACTGCCTCGAACCATCAGTTGTCTGAAATGGGGAATTATCATAGAGTGTGATTTATAAATTCTCAATAAGTACTCCATGAATTATTATTGTGTATAACTTAAAAGAGTATAATAATCATAATCAGCATAATGGAAATGTAAGAATTTTACCGAACATAGGTGGTAAAAATTCTTATGTGTAGTGCTACTAAACTCTGGTCCCCTTAACATAATCATAATCATATCATAGCATATGGGACCCATAATAATTTTCTTGAAATTCATAACATAACAATAATTCAACATAGGCAGCGTACTTATAGTGAAATTTGAATGAAAGAATAATAGAGACTTGATCCCTCTAAAATTTCCACCTCGGCTTATGAATGTGTATGTGTATATTATTTGGACCAAAAATCATAATAGTGAGTGGTAGCATGTGAATGTGAATGTGAATGAGGGGTTTAAAAAGGACAAAATTGGCATGTATCTTTAAGGAAATTTTCATGATGGTAGAAATTCTTCCTTGAAATTTGTGAAATGAGCAAGAATCTCTCTATCATTCCTACATTTATGCATTGACACTACAAATTGCCTTATGTTTGGTCAATCAAGCATAAATCAAGAATTTTACCTTGTGTTTGGTCAATCAAGCATAAATCAAGAATTTTCTTTGTAAGTGTTTGACCAAGAATTTAATCAAAAACACGTGGGAATTAGCACTTATGATAAGTTTGCTACAAGGTCCTAGAAGGTGGATTAACCTTCAAATGAGGCCCTAAATTTTCAATTTTGATAATTAGACCCGGAAGTTCGGATGCGGGTATTATATAGATTCTACTGTCCAAATTCTAATGAATTACAAAATGATGTCAAACCCCTTTAATTGTACGCTTGGCATCGCCTTCGAAAAGTTCCAAGGCTAGAGAGTCAACCAAAGAGGTCAATAGGCCAACCCAGAGAAGATCAAGGCATTAATAGAAATGAGGTCCCTCAAAAGCTTAAGGAGGCATAGAGCCTTATTGGGCGATGCGCAGCCATAAGCCGTTTTGTCTCTGAAGCCATTAACAAATGCATTCTCTTTTTCAAAGTTTTCAAAAAAGGGAAGAAATTTCGATGGACAGACGAGAACGAATAAGCTTTTCAGGAACTGGAGAAGTATCTCAACAAGCTCCCTTCCTTTCCAAACTGAAAGTTGGTG